CAGGTGGAGGCGAAGGAAGCCAAGTATACAAGCTATTCATTAAAGCCACACGACAGGCACAATCACTTTTTACTCGATTTTGCCCTTGCCAACCCTCGAGGCTGATGCGCTTCTTCCATATCAGGAGACGCTAACTCGCCATGGACTCTCTCCTTAGTCATCCATTCATCGCGTAGGGCTTCATGGTCGCGAAGCTCTCCTTAGTTCTGTCTGTTGCTCCGGGAGGCAGAATAATCCAGCCCCCGCGCGGAATGGCCGCAGAGCCACGATTCATTTTCGGAGCAACGCCTCTCCGATATCATCGAACGATATTTTCAGAATGGAGATTGTCCGCTATCTTGAGGAACCACGGAGTGTGCACATCCGATCCGGGGCTTGACCCCCCCACGAAAATATCGCGATACGGAGCCATCGCTGTCGGAGATTTGGTGATGATTCCCTCAGATCTATCATCGTCGACTGGAATTATTAACGCATTCCATCGTGAGACGCTCGAGATCCAGCCGGTGATCAGTCTTCGCCCCTTGGGGTCTCAAATGAGACCTCTGCCGAATTTACTCTCTTACAAAGTAACTCTTCTAAGTTGAGCTTCACGCGATTATTTTCCTAGCAAATCGGACAGGGAGAAGAGATTAGCTCCTCGATTCCGACGCCGACTATCACGCCGACCTCCTGATGGAGATCAAGCTAGTGAATATTAAGCTCGCATAAAAATATACCCAAGTGCTTTCCCCTCGGGATAATTATAGCAACTTTGCCTGTGGATCTTGAGAGGCAATCGGATCGACAGGGGCGGGGGCTGACATTGGAGGAGCTCTGATCGCGGCCGGAGAGCCCCGTCCGAAAATAAGCGACACAAATAGCGCTTAAAGCCGCAGGTTTCTTCTCCTCTCCCTGAGGTTGACCTTCGATCTCAACCGATGCTTCGCAGACACGGTGCCCTGGATGCGGGCCTGTCCCCCTCATGTTAGAGCAGGATCCGGCTGTCCCCCCTCAACGCATTTACTACCCCTCGCCCATGCATTGTTCGCCACCCCCCTAGGATTCGCTGGATGGATTCGCTGGTTTGATGGAGTGGACGAATCGATGCCGAGTTTCTCTATCTCCGATTGGATCCTCTCGCTGGCCGCAAGCGCCGTAGCCGTGGATGATAGACTCGGGTAGCCTCATTCGAAGCCCGGGATCCTCCTCCCGCAACACCCACCTCGCTCAGCCCTGGAATCGTCTCCATCCCTCACACTCTTGGCCTTGGATCATTGTAACGTAGAACGCAGATTCCGCTTCTCGGAGTGAGATCGTTCCCATCTTCTCTGCCTGCGACGACGAGTGGAAGACTCACACAGCCAGCGATTCGAGACTCCCTGTCAGAGCGATCCCCTGTGCAGAGAGCGCGATACTTCTTCTACTGCGGAATAGTTCACGCGCGGCTCGCCGGACTGCTGTGATTGGTAATTCGAAGGTTATCCCAAAAACCGGATCTCTAGTGACAAGGGAGCCGAGAAGAGAATCCGAGCCGCGGTGAGTCTCAGTCTCCTCGCTTTTGTGAGAAGAGGAGTCGCTTATACGACCATGACGGAATCAAACTCACAAACGTCAATAGCCGTCACCAGTGTATTTACTCTTCGAAAGTTGGGCTCGGAATTGATAAAGAAAATTGTCTGCAAGCCCGCCAGGCAGGCGCGCGACGGGGGGGGGGGGCAAGGGGGCCATGGCCCCCACCAAAATTCTTCGTGTTCAATGCTGAAGTATGGACCCCGGGAAGGCGCGTCATCATTTTTGGTCGTCTGGCCTCCTCCAGAACTCTAGTTGCCCCCCTCAAAAAAAATCCTGTGCGCGCCCATGCCGCCAGGACGAGTCGGACGGAATTCGTAGACCTGCTCGAGTTATAGGGTGATATGGAACCGGAACGGATACACACTCACGGATATGGTGCTCTCAATTCCTTGGGAGAACTAGGAATCGCTAGACGGTGGAAAAGAGACCAAAATAAGGAAACAACTTCATGTCCTCAATCGTCGAGGAAGAAAATCTCCACCGCTTGGAGCGGGGGAGTCCTTCCTCTGTTCAGACCCGCTGGGAATCCGGTGGTATTATCAGAATTCAAACGGAATCACCTCTGTACGGGCGTGGGTGCGATCTGACGGACGAGAACTCGATCTTCCTGCAAGTGGGAGAGAATAGGATAGAGATT